TTTATCCCAAATATTGTTAGGTTTCAAAGATTTATGGCCTGACAATATTTTTTATTTTTTATTTATTTTCAGAATCATTTTAAATGAAGATATTTTCTGAATTAATATATAGGGATAAGGCTACATATAATTGACCACGGAAATATAAAGGTTTTAATAAATAGTCCTACGGAATTGAAACTTTGGCCCTGTGATTTATTTATTATCATATTAAAAGCCAAAATCAGTAAAAATTGTTTTCTATGCAAAAAAATGGTTAAAAAGAACGATCCGTGATATTAAAAGTGATTCTAAGTATAAATACTGTTTGTCCTATATTTTCATTTTTAATGATTAGAACTTCAATATTATACTCAAATAATTTTGTTATGCGTAAGCAAGTTCCATTACATGATCTGTCTAGTATACTTAAATTTCTTATCAACGTTACTACTGAATTCATTTTTAATTTTAGCTCATGAGATGGTAAGCCTTTATCAACTGCATTTAAAACTTTCGTATGTTGCTAACTGTTGCGTATTGCATACTGTAGTAGGATGCATCAGTTCTTTTCATACTGTTTATGAGTTTTTGTTTATTACTTGAGTGTACTCGTTATGTGATGTTTAAATAACTCGGTTTATGGAAAAAATAAACTGTGTATCAGAAATTTCACAGCAAATTTCTTTCGTTTTCTACCCATTTGATATGTGTCGATTCTGTGATTGACTTTAAAAATTGAGGTAAGATACTCCTCTAAAAGTTCCTATTTTCATTTATTTTACTATAATACTATGTTTTTAAGGCAATACCTTATAATTATTATTCTAGAGGCAAAGAAACAAGAATTTTCGCTAAAAATTGTAATTCTTGTACAAAATTAATCGATCAATAGATCGGTACAAAAATTCAGGCCGAGGTACCCCTCTATAATATGTTTCTTTCATATCTCTTACTATAATACTAGGTTTGTAAGTCGAAAGCTTCTAAATTTTCGGTCTGATTGTAAAAAGACTAGAATTAACGCTAAAAATCGTTATTTTCACATTAAAATCGTCAGATCTCAGATCGTTATCAAAAAATAAAACGAAGTACCCTTCTCAACATTTTAGTATTGTGACGTTTTTTCGTATTGTGACGGTCACTCTGCTATGGGAGTCTGCTAGTTTCAGCTTTATTTTGGTATTGTAAACTAGTTAATTTCACCTTTTTTGATATCTACTTAAGATTAAGAAAATTTTTCATCCAGTTATCTTCGATTTTTTTTTAACTTAAAAATATTGAAGTCTTTTGAAAAATAAGAGTATTTTATTGTTTCTTCTATTGTAACTGACCTAAAGTTATTTTTGAAAGCCTGCAGAGTTTTTCTGAAAGCTTCGCCTTATATTATTGTTTTTTTCCAAAAGGAAGATCATTATCACATAAATCTTTCAACGTTTTATCTACTATTCCGAAAGCTTTCTTTGGAGTCATTGACATTTTATTCTATATTGTGATATCGACTTTTCTTAATTTTTTTTTCGGATTCACGCTTAAAAAATGCCGTTTTAATGTTATTTCAATCTAAAAGTTCTGTGACTTATCACACCTCTTGGTAACAAAATAGAAGCAATTCCAGTCCAAGTCATGAACATTTTTTTTTCCTCAGAAGTACAGAAATAAATTATGGTTTTATACAAAAAAGTTTTACCATAAGCTCCTTGACCATTTGTACAAAAGATTTATTGGAATTCAGATAAATTATTTCAAAAATGTATTCTTGATCGTTATTCAGTTAATTATACAAAATATTAAACATTTTTCTACTGAATTNTTTTTTTTTTTTTTTTTCATTATTTACGACGTACGAGGTGAACAACTTACAGGTATGAGGGCCTCGCCGTTGTAGAGGAATTCGAGGAGGTGTACGACCTGGATCCTGCGCACCCCGACGAGATGGACGACGTGCTCGAGCGAGGTGTTGCTGAGGAGGCTGGCCAATAGGGGACTGGCCGCCGCGAGGACGACCCTGTGGGCCCTGATGAGGGAGCCGTCATCGCAGGCGAGGGACACGTCCACGTGACAGTCCCAAGCGTACCAGGAGCCGAGCTCCGCCGCTACGGTCTCCAGGTGGCTGTCGTAGGAGAGCTTTAGTCTCCCGTCCGGTTGCATAGTCTGCAATCGTTTCACGTTAGGGTTAATACAGGCGACCTTGACATCTTATGTTATACATTAGGTGCTATTAGGTGTATATTGTGCTCGATTATGGTGTTCCCGACTGTAAAGTAGTGCTTTTTGTTTTATTATTTTTTTACTACTTGCTCTGTGAGTCGTGCAATCATCGATAAGCCCCGACTCCATGCGAACAATTATTGTACGGAGAAATATTAAATGTTGTAAAATTTGATGAAAGTATAAAAGTGTCGAAAAGCCTTCATTTCGTTAAATAATTGATTCTTACTTTTTTGATTGTGCCATTTAACATTTTCTACGTTCCTTTTAGCGTGAATAATTATGAACGATTGTGCACACCTTCTCGAGTCCGATGATATATACTAGGGGATCATCGCACGCATCTTTATGCCTAAAGAAAAGACGTATGGAGAGAAAAAAAAAATTATTAAAAAAAGTTTTCAGGATGTTCCCGTGCGCCAGATATTACATTCGGGGAGGGGGAGGCATTGTGCGCACGAAAGTGCCATTTAAAAAATCTACAGAGTCCCACACTACCGCTCTTGTTGCATTTTTTTCATGGTATTAAAGAATAACTACAAAAAAGTAGAAAAAAAATTCAGGAGTTAATTTTGGTATTTTTTACAATAAATTCGAATTGTAGAGACAGATTACGATGAGACACGATGACACGATACACTTACCGCGTGAGCTCCACGCACTGCGCCAGTGCGCGTCATGTTGTCCAAGCTCGCAGACCATACTATATTAGTATAGTCACATCCGATGAATTATACTTGTGAAATCTACAGTGTTGTTTCATGCATTCACGCATATTATGTATAACGTGTCTCACACTGTAACAATGTTAACAGTGCTCAGGCTATTATTGCTTGGATTTTTTTTCCCTGTACAGTATAACTCCTGCCCGTAAGTGGAAACTCTTGTATTCGCCATGCTTCTTTCATTGGACTTCAATACCTACCGCTAATCAAGTGTATAATTTCATCAAAAATTACATTATGTTCTTCGTTATCATTTAAATAAACTTCTTTCATTTTTACGGATGCTTTATTGCTGCCCTTCTGCACAATAATCATACGTGTACTCTCTGCTGTTAATTTAAGCACAACATCCAATGTTTATGTGATATTTACATTTTTTCAACAAATATCTGTTGTATAAAATAACTATAGAATTATTAACTAGAATTTTCGTATTAGAATTTTTAATTTTGTAAAAATTGTCATCCAAACTATTGTTTCGTCTTTGGTAATGTGGATATCTAATAAACAAAAATGCAGTATTATTAAAAAGTTTTTGGAAGGGATCGCTGGCCTTACCGGCAAGGAGTGATCCCTGACACTTGGGGCTTCTCCGGGGATGCTAATTAGCCTGGATCCGATGCTTTGGCAAAGAGCGCCGGCTTAACTGGCGAGGAGTTGGACGTCCTGAAATATGAATTCCACTCCGAGAAAAGGCTACACTGTGGCGAGTCGACCCAATGCACCATTGGTGCAGAGAGTGTCAGCTTAACTGGCAAGGTGTTCTACCGGAAATACTCACACTGTGCCCATGGATTCAGATATGATATTAGGAAAAAGGGTTGGAAATGGGTGTGGCAATACACCCCCACACATAGGTGGTGAGTGGGTGGTCCCAGCGGCTAGACTAGTAGGCTGCCGTGGTAAACCCGGTAGAAAAAAAAAAAAAAATTTAATGATTTGACGATTATAAACAATATGTAACAGCACAATACAATAAAAATAATATATAGGCAGGCCAGTACAACACTGCGCTTTCATAGAATCTTCCGATGGTTTTAAAACGACTTTCTACTGCCTATACGCTGATTACATCTCTAACATCACGTTCACATCTATCATATACGATCCTACACTTATTCCTAGTCCATATTTAATATCCAAAATACAATCATACATGGAAAAGTAAGAAAAACCATCCTGTAGTATAGCTTTCTTCAATAGGGTAGTATTACATGCCAGTGAATGTCCCTTCAGGACGTTCATCACATATATAATTTTTTTGACAGATATAATTCAAACGTCAAATGTACATTGAAATAGCAAAAAAAAACCCACAAAAATTGCAGCTTGTTTGACTGTACCAGTATTTTGTATATGTTACAATTAAAAAAATCAATATTTAACGTGTAACCTGATAAAAAAACCACGTTATTTGGCATTTATATGTTTTGTAGGAATCTTCCAATTTTTTGGACACAAAAGATTACATTAAGATGAACCTATAGAATTTTCAAATAGACCAACGAGTTGATTTTTTAATGAAGTTGGAAAGAAATGATAAAGTGTGCGTAAAATTATATATGTGAGTACATCCACATGAGAAAAAGAATTGCCAGCTTTACTGGTAAAATATAGACAACAAAATTTGGACAAAATATAAAGAATTTTGTCAACTATTATTTATTTACTGTAAAAGTAACTAATTAAATAGATAAGAACAAATATTTATTGATACATTGGAAAGCTGCTCCGCTAAAATATACTAATTTTCGAGTTTTCTGAAAAAACATTTAAAAAAAATTGTTGTATTAAGTAAATTATTTATTAATTTAATTTATAATTAAACCTTATAAATCAATAGACATTAAATGAAAATTTACAAAAAAATCAGTTACGAACCACACCATAACATGCGGGAACCCAATTTTCTATATGAGGACTGTTCGTAGCAAAGTGGGTAAGGGCCTTGACTAGTGTGCAGATGGTCGGAAGGTTAAAACCTCTTTGGACACTATTTTGTAGTGTAGAGGAAACTGAAAGTACGTCACAGGGGACGAGATGAACGGAAAGAATCAAGCAAAATCCACTTCCATCACACTTTTTCCTAAGATCAAAATCGGAAATCGTTGATTTACCCTTGCGCATAACGCGCCTATAGAAGTATAACTTAAAAAATCTTACAAAATACTTCTTGTATTTCAATAAGTTATCGAAATATAACTTATTTTAAAATAAACATAAGTCTCAAAATAACTGTTTACTTACTATTTCATTTAGT